CATTGTGCTGTACAGTTGAAACAGAACTCTTAAGTTCATGTATGATATAAAAACCTATTTATTTTTGTTGCTGTAGCTATTAAATGTTTTATTTTGCATGGATACACAGAACCTTTATGTTATATTGGTCTGTCTTGATGCTGTTGTTGCGGTGCAACGTTCATGGCTTGTACTTAAAAATATTCTTTTTTCTGCTTTCTATTTTTATACTGACCTAGTACAGTTCTGTTGTGGGTGTAACTGTGACAGATTCATACAATGCTCTCACATCTTTTTTTCTGTGTCTGAGGATGTGCAGTTAATAGTTTTAGTTATAGAAATTTACATTTTGTTACAATACGATATGAGTAAAAAGTGTAACCCATTTAGATTTGTACGCAATGCCTGTTTTGCTAATGTTGGAAAGCCGTAACTTAAATTTATTGATTAAACAGTTATGTAGCAGTCTTTCCATCAATCAGGTACAGACTACAGCCTGAACAAGTATCTTAGCTGTTAGAACCTTCTGTTCTCATTTATAAATGTGGCCTTGACAGTTTCTATTACCATAGCTCCTGCGACGCTAAGCGTTAGGTAAGAGAACAAGGTATAATAGTAGAGACTTCGTGGTATTTCAGAATATGCCTGGTTGCCTGGGATACCGCTAATGACGTCAGACACGTGTGTCACGTATGTGTATCTACTTTGATGGATGGATGATTGCTTAGAATTGAATGAAAAAAAATGCGCCTACATGTTTTCGTATATATAGTCTATCGAATGAATCAGTGAGCAACGTCTATGGTGTCTATCATTACATACAGAAGGTGAAACATACATAAAAGCACTTAGTACAGAAAAGAATTTCTGATTTAAACAACTGCGGGAATAATAACTTGAAAATTGAATATCAAGAAAAGATACAAGCTTACAAACGCCTGTTGATATACTATAGGTTATTTCATATGACGTTTCTGGAAAAGTATACCAAAATAAACAATTTCCATTTATGGCGAACTTCTCATTCTTATTAATATTTGAAGCTGGCATAACATTTCTAATTTGATCCTAGTTTTTTTTAAATGTCATTGTAACAGGTTGCATTTTGCTCAGAGCAAGTGGATCAGAGTTTTAAATAATGGACCTGGAATTTTTTGGTTTAAGTGGTAATGGCAAATGGAGTAGTACAAAGTGAAATATCATGTAATTCTGTGACTTACGGTTCGAAAGTGCTTCTCCATTCTGGTTGAATTCATAGAAGTGCACAATTCGGTTTTCTTACCTCTTCATTCATCAACTACATGTTATACGTCAGTTTACAGTTTCTGAAAACTTTTTTCCACGTACGAAAAGGCCCTTTTGGCCTCAACTTTCAGAGTTTTTAAATATTTTTCAAAAGGCCAAAATTAATATTTTAAGTATTATTCATGATACATTACTGAGCATATTTTAAACCAGAGCCTTTTGGTGTCTAATACAACCTGCATTGATTGTGGTTTTTAGTTACATAAAAAATATCTAAATTATAAAAATGTTGTAATATTTTGTTCTGCCTAGTTTACAGTAAACAAAAGGACTTACAAAATTAATAAACATATGCCATATACGGCGTAAGGAGTATCTTCATCAACATTAAACACCGAGCAAAGATGATAAAACCAAATAATTCAACGAGGTCTGTTAGATAAGGAAATGTGTAAGATCTCAAAAAGAACATTTAATATACGTTTAATTTTTACTTTTTATTTATCAATTTTGAAATAAGTGCAAATTTCTGTTAACGGGAATGTTAGTAAACCTCTAAATTGGTTTCCTTTTCGGTAACAGTTTATCAAACGTAATTTCCTACGTTAGAAATGTGATTGGCAAATCCCATTATTTAGTCTGACAAGTGTAATCTCAGAATTGGCGTCGAGTAATGTGACTAGTCTTCTTCCTTCTGGTCTAACAATTAGAACCGCTACGTAATGTCCCTCTGATATTATTGCGAGATATTTCATACAATTTCATTCATTGTCAATCTTTTATTTTACCTAAAATAAAAGTCTTCAATTGTTTTTAGTTTACTACGCATTTCTGTTCGTTTTATTGTCCTTGCAAATTTTGATATACATATAAGACTGTGAATTGAGAAACAATGCAATAGAATTTGATATATATTGCATTCAAAAGCTGACAAGTACCTCAAATATATATAGAATTATTGCCTGTTAGGTCAATCTCTAAACAAAGATAGTGTGTGACATGAAAAAAGCAATTTTGTATTTAAAATTCAAGAGGATATCTTTTAGCAATGTCTGATACTAAGAAAGGATGTACAATTAAGTTAGATACTTTAACTGTCCTCGAAAATGCCTCCTTCATTTGGAGTACGCTCAGTCTGATAACGTTTATTGCAAAAAGCTTCTACGATAAACAGTTAACGAGGGACCATACATCTTTGCACATTTCACAAAGATCCTTCTCTTAGCAAAGGCACGCAGATCATTAGAAGCTGTACCTTTGTTAGAAAAACAGCCGTTGACTTAGAAGTACGATTGGAAATTTAGGAACTTTTGGCCTGTGGACATTCGTTAAGTTCAACTTCGTGTTTATTACCTTGTAGCATATCAGAAGATATATCAAGCTTCATCGCATGAATGTTTTTGTTTTTCACACGGAAGTTCTTTTTCGTAACATTTAGTGCTCGGGTCGCAGATGAAGACATTGCTTCCACAGCTCCTTTTTTGAAATGTTGCATCTTTTAGCTGTACATCGTTTAAAATTTTCGGAAAAGGATATCATTTCAGCATTCATCCATACTTCTATCTGTATAATATCGTTTAACAAGGGTATCATTTCAACATTCATCCATACTTCTACCTGTTTAAAATCGTATAACAAGGGTATCATTTCAACATTCTTCCATACTTCTATCTGTATAATATCGTTTAACAAGGGTATCATTTCAACATTCATCCATACTTCTACCTGTTTAGAATCGTATAACTAGGGTATCATTTCAACATTCATCCATACTTCTACCTGTTTAAAATCGTATAACTAGGGTATCATTTCAACATTCATCTATACTTCTACCTGTTTAAAATCGTATAACAAGGTATCATTTCAACATTCATCTATACTTCTACCTGTTTAAAATCGTATAACAAGGATATCATTTCAACATTCATCTATACTTCTACCTGTTTAAAATCGTATAACAAGGATATCATTTCAACATTCATCTATACTTCTGCCTGTTTAAAATCGTATAACAACGTTATCATTTCGACATTCATCCATACTTTTACCCGTTTAAAATCGTTTAACAAGGATATCATTTTGCCTGTTTAAAATAGTATAACAAGGGTATCATTTCAACATTCATCCATACTTCTATCTGTATAATATCGTTTAACAAGGGTATCATTTCAACATTCAACCATACTTCTACCTGTTTAAAGTCGTTTAACAAGGATATCATTTCAACATTCAACAACAGCCCAAGCTAGATTCAAACGTGACAAACATTATTTCTAGATAAGTAGTGAAATAGCTAATAAGTTTCCACAGCTCTGGGAGGAGGCAAAGTTGTATTTTATCACTTTCCCTCATCTTATCTGGTTGAATCTAGTTTTAGTCGGGTGACTTATTTGCTATCAAAAATACGTAACCGCCTTGATGTTGTGAAAAGAGGAGATCTTCACTTATCACTGACCACACTGCAACCAGACATTCAAAAACTTTCAAGTGTTCATCAGGCCCAAGGACCACACTGAATACAATGTCAATGATTAACAGAATTTTATATACTTGTATAAGTAAACAGTATGTTATAAATAAAATATTTAAAAAACAATACAATATTGTACAAATTATATTATAATATTATAAATGTATTATAAATCAACAGTGTGGAAATAAAGTAACTTATTTCCTAAGTAACAGTGTCTACGAAGAGATAAATCAAACCCAAAAGGGAGCTAAGAGCAAGAAAAAAAAAAAGGTCGGGAAACACTGTACTAAATGATAACAACCCGTCACATACTAGTTTTGCGTCATTTTAGACCTCACTGTATGATCCTCTTTATAGTAAACTCTTTTACTTCCTTTAATGTCGGAGAGGGTATAGACAGTGATCACTTACTAATTTAGTGTGATTTCAGTCTAAGTTCAAATAACAACCCACAAATAAATACCCCTAAATGTAACTAAAAAATGTAAACTGGTCAAAATACTAGGGAATACTAAGCAATAATCTGCCAGAGAAGACTATCAACACTGTCGAAACCTTCTCTATAATCGATAACTACTGCTGTACAATCACAGAGTGGCCTTATAAATGCTGCAGACTTTATGCATATCAAAACAACACACCATAACCATGTATGGAAACCATATGAATAACTTCTAAACACAATCAAATAAAGTAGAAAAAATTTAAGAATATGTATGAACACGCAAAACCCAGAACAAAAAACCAAACTAAATATACTCAGAAACATTATGGGAAATGAAAAAAAAAGACTTAAGGGAGACATATGGGACAAAGACTGTTCCAAATTGAACACACACACAGACCCAAAAAATGTCTGGTCTCACCTAAAACGATTCACCGAAAACAATAAAAATAAACACATATATCCTACACTACAACAAAATAACACCATAGCCAACACACAAAAACCAGAAGTATTCAGAAAACATCTCGAAAATACATACAAAACACCAAATGAACCAACAACGAACACGTTCTACAATAAAGATAACAATTACATTAAGAGTGGTCCAACCGGAAAGTTTTAACACTCAAGATAACACAATATAACAACTTAATAAACCAATAACCGTAAAAGAAATACAAGATTCCCTCAAAAACACAAAAGAAAACTGCAGGTCAAGATAAAATACAATACACACTAATTAAAAAATATCCTTTGCGATTGTACGAGCATCTAGCGGCAAGATTCAATCTAACCCCAAAATCAGGCTACATACCAGCAATTTGGAAGCTGTTTTAATGTCTCTGAAAGAAGGAAAGTCAGTCAATAGACCAGAAAGCTACAGATCAATCAGCCTAAGTACAGATGTATAGGCAAACTTTTAGAAAACTCATCAGTTCAAGACTTTTGACCTATCCCGTTCTGACATAAATATTATGGGAAATACAAAACGGATTTAGAAAAACAAGACAAAGTACAGACCATCTGATAAGACTCACAGAAACAATGGTAAATAGTTTGAACCGAAATGAATGCCCGCTTTCTCGATGTTGAAAAAGCCTTCGACAGTGTATGTCATAACGTATTAAAATTCCGGATATCCAAACTACCAGTAAACACATATATCCTACACTACAACAAAATAACACCATAACCAACACACAGAAACTAGATAAGGGAGAGCTATAATTTATGTATCGGGCACCTTCTCGGGGGCAGGTGCCTCGCAAGGAGGGGTAGTTGTTTTATAATATTTATCATGTATGTGAGTGAAATTCTTCTGTTAGATCCAAATTTCTCCTTCTTTTCCCAGTTTGCTGATGATACGGCTATATGGAGGATTTATTATATTTAAACATTGCAACGATAGTTTTATAACCGAGACTATACCAAATAGAAATGTACTGTAACACATGGAGAATCAAAACAAATGCCTCGAAAACACAAATTATATAATTTACGAATTCTCAACCAAGACAAATAAACAGCCTTCAAAATTATACCTTAATGGAATCTTTTCCAGGTAGCCATATTAGCCAAATTCCTGAGCCTAAGCTAAGATACAAGGATAAATTAGGTTTAACATGTAAATGAAGTTAGGTACAGATAAACAAGTATGACTAAGAATTTATATTTCGCGCCCCTCTATAAAATAATCAAATTAACAATTATAGAACAAATGTTACAACAGAAATTGTGCTCTATTGTTAGTTTATCGTATCCATATTTCGCGCCCCTCTATAAAATAATTAAATGAGCAACTCTAGAACGAATGCTAGAACAATAACTTGTGCTCTATTTTCAGTTTATCATATCCATTTGAAGTACTTCAGAGCATAATTAGATGCCAAAAGTGTTATTTTTGTACTTTATTCATTGAGTAGATTACTTTCTCATAAAATAAAAAGGTTACTAAGACTTACCAACTGACTATAATGTTGTGTTTTTTGTTATTGTTTTTTGGCGGTGAAGCAAATTGAACTATAAAAAGCTAAATTTCTATACTGTTTTAGCATTTCTTTTAGCTATACCTAGAAATAAATAAACCGAAACAATTTTACGTGGTTGCAAAGTACACTTTGAATAAGTATAATTTCAGTGCAAATGACGCTGAAATATAGATTGGAATAAATATATGAAATATGAAGCTTGAAACATAAGAATTAATGAGACATTTAGCACTAAACGTTCAATAATAAAAACTTATTTTCGCGATATAAATGATCGTTACTAAATCAATGAAATTTAAAAAATGAAAACAAGTTCTAGAAGTCTTAATAAAAGGCATCACAGGTTGATCTAATTTCTTTGTAGAATAAATCTAAAATGCAGATACATGTAACAAAGGGACTCATAAGGCTGCTTAATACAGGTATGATTATTAGTGATATAGGCTTACTACTAAGAATACAGCAGTGTACTCATAAGGCTGCTTAATATAGTGATGATTATTAGTGATATAGGTTTACTACTAGGAATACAACAGTGTACTTATAAGGCTGCTTAATACAAGTATGATTATTAGTAATATAGTTTACTACTAGGACTACAACAGTGTACTCATAAAGTTGTTTAATAGATAGATTATGTTTAGTGATATAGGTTACTACTATAAATACAACAGTGTACTCATAAAGCTGTTTAATACAGAGATTAAGTTTAGTATATAGTTTAATACTAGGAGGACACGATTGTACTCATAAAGTTGTTTAATACAGGGATGGTTATTAGTGATATAGTTTACTACTAGGAGGACACGAGTGTACTCGTGAAGCTGTTTAATACAGAGATTAATTTTAGTGAAAATGTTACTACAAGGAGGACACAATTGCACTCATAAAGCTGCTTTAAACGAGTGTACACGCAAAGCTTCTTAGTAGGAGAATACAGAGATACAGTTCAGTTACGTTGGTTGCTACCAGGAAGACAGGAGTTTATTGCTTTTTGGCGTACTATGTTAACATAAGAACACAACTTTAATGTTTGAAGTGTGGATCATTACAAGGAAGAGATAGGTGTTATGTTTAGAGGTGTGCGACACTATCAGGAGGACATAGAAGTAATTTGCAATAAAGTTAAAATCAACACTAAGTATACAATACCACATTTAAATGAAAACTAATTTCAACATTTCCACATGTCTTTTCCAGTTCAATGTTTCGCTATAATAATTCTGAAGTCCTTCTACCATCGCTCATTGTAGATAATCGAAGAAAAAAAATAAACGTCAACAATGATTAAAACTTGATTACGGCAGGTAATACGATCGTTGTGTTTCACTCTTCATTTTAAAAACAAACCATTGAATATCTTAAATATATATTCTTTTCTGTTCAAATAAAAACTGAGAGCCAAAGATAACCTTCTAATTTGAATGTTTTGATAAAACAGTTGATAACTGCTTCACTTGGACAAGGTATGCACAAATATTACACACAGTACAGTCCAACTAACGATATAAAACTTGACAAGAAAGAACCTCTAGATCTAGTGAAGAGTTCCAACTAACGCCACAAAGTTTTATAAAGAAAGAACCTCTAGATATAGTGAAGAATTCCAACTAACAGCACAAAATTTGATAAAGAAAGAACCTCTAGATATAGTGAAGATTTCCAACTAACACCACAAAGTTTGATAAAGAAAGAACCTCTAGATCTAGTGAAGAGTTCCAACAATCACCACAAAATTTGACGAAAAGCCTCTATATTTTAAAAGGAGCCAGTTAGTATGCATCTGCTATGATATTTATTCAAAAACCAATCACTTCATTCCCAATGACATTTTGTTATATATTATGTGCACAGGATTTGGAGTTGTGAGTCATTTGTATTATCAGTAACTTAATAATTTGTAAAGGTTCCGAAAAATAATAGAATATGAATGTTTCTTATAGTTCAATTACGAAAGAAATATTGCCAATGAGTATCACAATAGTTAGTGTTGAAATAAAATACGATTACAATACCGTCAGAAGTTTTAAATTAGAGATAACCGTGTCTGAACCCTGGTTTTTACATAAAGTGTCGTTCAGGCTTAAAATTCCAAACTCCGTATAATATAATCACATATATATGTAATTAATGCACTCAACAAACATCAATGGAGGCTGAAATTAAAATTCAAAAAAGTGTAAAAACAAACCTTCGAGGAAAATATTCAAAACAATCCCTAAGAAATAAAGTTATGTAATCAATATTTAATTTTTTTAACATGGAAACGTAAATACACAAATATATATTTTAAAATACAACATTTAAATCTCTCGTCCGATAAGCTTTCGTTAAATCAGTAGAAATAAAATCAACTAAAGCGATCGAGTTATCGAGTTTTGTTAATTACGACAATAGCGACCAGATAATTTTATGTAACTAGCTTTGACGCAAGACATTTTCTTACTCCGAAATCTAAACTCCTAAAATAGTGAAGGTATGTACTTACTCATTAGTAGCTCTTTGAAAGTAATAGCAACAACGGGGAGAAAATGTATAAAGAAATCATAATATAATGTTTAGAAAATTAATGTAATCTTTTTTTCTCTAGAAGTAATTATAAATCAGTTTGAAAAACTGAAATGGTAATAAAGTAAACCTAAAAATAAAGAAAAAATAAAATGTTGCAACTACAGCAAATAACACCGTGTGAGAAATTAAATTTTCCAAGTAGCCAAAACAAATTTGTTCCCTACTAAATTTTGTCATCATTGAAAGTAGAAATGGACATTATCACATGCGTCAGTTTTACCAACAATGTTTGGTAAATCTGCTAATCTCGAATTGTTTAACAATAAAAGTATGATTTAAATAGTGTAAGGAGAGATAAAAGAAAAAAATCGTGTTGCTGTTCAGCGACATATCGCGGGTTCGAACCTACGGACTCATCAACCAAACCACTAAAACACGCAAAACTTTTATTTTACTGTCGAGGAGACATTTTCTCAGCAGAAGACAGGAAAGCTTACAGGGGAATAAAAATTCAAATTCATCATTATTTTATCTTCAACCTCTGTATAGTATTATAAAGAAAAAAATATGAACCTTATGCCTCTTCTGGTAAGTATAAAAAACCAACGTTTTATATTATATGTATTGTTTTAAGATTTATCTTTTAATTGTTTCTAAATCCTGTTTTTATGATTATCAAAATCTATCTTTTGTACAGGTTACAGTTTCCGAATTATTAACTACGAGAGAGGCAGACTCTAATGTGAAACATTAATTTTGAGGCTGACTTGTGTGAGACAGGGAGTTTTTAGAAAAGAAAGGCAAGGTTAACTATAATGTTATACAACGAGTTTTAAGAACAGAGTTGTGAAACATTAATTTTGAGGCTGACTTGTGTAGAGACAGGGAGTTTTTAGAAAAGAAAGGCAAGGTTAACTATAATGTTATACAACGAGTTTTAAGAACAGAGTTGTGAAACATTAATTTTGAGGCTGACTTGTGTGAGACAGGGAGTTTTTAGAAAAGAAAGGCAAGGTTAACTATAATGTTATACAACGAGTTTTAAGAATAGAGTTGTGAAGCTAACTCTGCGAGACAGTAAAGTTTGAGAAGGAGCTATGAGGCTCATTGTAATGTCAGACAGTGATTTTTGAAAAAGGGTTTTGAATCACTTTATTGTAAGAAAGTGAATGTTGAAAAGGGAATTGTGTGACTAATTTTAAACCAGGGAATTTTAAGAAATGAATTTTGAGGGTGATGACTCCTGTATGACACAGTGAGTTTTGAGAAGAGGTTAAGCAGCTAATGCAAGTTATTCTTGAATTTGATGACGTAAAACTATATTTTAGAAATTTATCGCTCGTGAATTATAAAACAACAAACTTTCTGACCAATTGTTTGTTTGTAATTAAGCACAAAGCTAGACAATGGGCTATCTAGTCTCTGCCCACTACGGGTATTGAAACCCGATTTCTAGCGTTGTAAATCCGCGGACTGTTACGTATTACAATTTCGAATGGTCTAAAATAGAGGTAAATGATAACTTGAATTTGGTTGTTAAATAAATGCCGATATATTTCCGATTTATGACATTTTCCAAAAAGATTGATACATACAGTTTTCTTTTTTTTAAATACAAATATATTTTAATATACAAACAACAATACAATTTTCAATAACAGTTATTACAAATAGTTATTACGAACAATGATTTATATACAAAAGTTTCAGAAATTTACAAGCAATATAAATTCTTCTTTCTAGTCTGGAACTTCCTTGATATCTTATCGAGGGTTGAGCGAGTTAATTCACTTAACAGTGAGCTAACTAGTCCTGTAGTTCTCGTTGATCATACGCCGATTATAGGTCGAGTTTCGACCAATGACGTTAGGTAATGTTTTCGTAAAAGCACTAATATCCAATGTGAATCCACTGAAGTTGAATGGTTTGTAATGTTCAAAATTTATAAATGTTCTTGGTCAAATATCTTAAGTTTCCCGATTAATTAGCCTTATAACAAGCACGGTTATAGCTTCCAAAGTTTATAGCACACCAACTATAGCAAACCAATAACAGATACTGTTTTTAGGCGCGGCGCGTTGGTTATATTTATAGACGTTTGGAGAGTTTCTCGAAAATTCAGATTACGTAACAATACAAAGCTACATTAGCGTTAACGTACCCTCATATATTGTTGATTCTTCCACTCGAGAATCTTCTACAACTTTAAAGAATAGGCGTGAGTTTAATTTAAACAAACATTGATATTAAAATAAATATATGATAATAAATCCGTCACAAGACATACCGCTGTGCCACTGGGAGCACATTACATGAGTCATACCTTAATCTAAATTAATTTTAAAACACATTTTTGAAGTTAGTAATGTATTAAATTTTTAAAGTAATCGACTAAGAAAAACTTTATGGCGATGAAAATCAGTAAAATAAAAAATCCAGAAAAGACAGTTTTTGAAACCTGTAAAAGTTTTGCTTCTCAGTCAAGCTTTCCAAAAGATAATTTCTTAAGTTTAATATTAAATAGAATGGTACATTTTTCGGTTTCCAAAGGTTTATGAAGCACAAAAGTGGTTACTCTAAATACGCAGAATAACAATTCGACATTGGGGTAAGGACAACCCCGTACGTAGCCTCATTCGGATCTAACGTACTTGTAACAAAAATATGCGAGAAAATTCCTTTTTTAACTCAGCAAGCACTTAATTTTCCACTCGTCAACTTAACAATGTTCACAGATGAAAAGCTTGTAAATCTTACAAAGCTTCTCATGTTTAGGTTCAGAGTTTGTAAGCCCAAATGGAGCAACTCCACTCCCTTCCTCCACGAACCTAACATTAACATGAGTCACGTCTCCATCAAGACCGTGCTTTTGGTTAAAAGCTTCTTCTAAGTAGCAGTTGGTTTTGAATCGATGGAAGAATTACTCCACAGAAGAGAATGTTGATATAAAAACATACAGTTTTGTCTAACGCATTTTCTAAAACCCATATACCTATATACTGTGATTTTTATGTTATTTTCATAACACAACTTTTAACAAACACAAAATTAAATTTTATTATATGTTAAGTTGTGCTATGTCATCGAGATCTTACTACTTAAATTTCTAAAATTCATTTATAATATATTCTGAAGAATGGTGGCTGATTAACGGCGGATATCACTGCAAGCTCCCCAGTGGCATAGTGGTAGATCTGCGGACTTATACCACTAGAATTCGGGTTTCGATGCCCGTGGTGGGCAGAGCACAAATAGCCCTTTGTGTAGCTTTGTGCTTAATGCCAGACAAGAAAAACATCACTGCAACATTTCACCATTTCATCGAAGAATTGTTTATTTTAACTTTTGACAGTTTCTGTTTTACGATTTTGTAGTTACAAAATGCACGCATTTATTTTTAGAACTTTTATAAAACTACCATTGGGTGTAAATATATTTCTAAAGTAGTTTGAAAAATATCATCAATTCATTATAAATGTATTTGACACGAGACGTTTTGTGTTGCTACGTTAGTTCATGTGTGTGGAAATGATTATGATGTTTCCTATATCTCGAATTTAATATCAGTATAGTTAAATTCGAGGAAAATAATTTTACTACTAACTACGCTTGGGAAATACTGTATTCGTTCAAACCATTTGAATAAGAATAGATATAAAAAAGAGATGAACGACAGATTAACTGACATCGAAAAATTAAAATTTCCTAGTACTTGTTTTGATCACAAAAGTTATGTTAAGGATTAAGTTTGTAATGGTTTAAGATAAACTCGCTGATACAATCAGGGTTTAACAAAGAAAAAAACAATTTGCTCAACTACTAGCTGGGGTACCCATCCCCTGGACGGAAGTTATGTTAAGGATTAAGTTTGTAATGGTTTAAGATAAACTCGCTGATACACCGTCCAGGGGATGGGTACCCCAGCTAGTAGTTGAGCAAATTGTTTTTTTTCTTTGTTAAACCCTGACAAGTTATGTTAAGGATTAAGTTTGTAATGGTTAAAAATATATTCGCTGATACAGTCAGGGTTCAACAAAGAAAACAACAATTTGCTCAACTACTAGCTGGGGTACCCATCCCCTGGACTGAAGTTATGTAAATTCATGATTAATGAAAAGTTATCTTAGGACATGAAAAGTTGCTTCCCTTATATGTAATTGTAAAAAACGTGATGTTTTACACTGTATTACTAATAGACAGTTTTAATCTATCAAATGACGTATTATATTTCATAGTTGTCCATTTCGCCTCCAGTTCTAGACTTTATCTGACGGTATTCATATCGACAAGCGTAGCTGAAATTTTAGTCTCTTATCGCATCTTAGTCTTAGTGTTAGTTCCTCCCGTTCCGTTGGGAACATTGGTGAGAGAGACCTCGCCATCTGCCTCTGTCATGAGCGGTCTCCACCGCTTGGTCAAATGTTAGAACCACCAGTTCCAAATCCTCTTTAAAAGTTCTTCGCCATGTCTTCTTTGGCCTTCCTCTCCCCCTTTTCAAATTTGGCGGCACCCACTCCATGGATTTCTTTGCTGGTCTTGATACTGGCATTCTCAGTACATGTCCTGCGAATCTAAGCCTTCTCTTATTAACAGATCCTTGCAGGTCCCTTTGGTCCTCTATATGATATTTTTAAGATTTTTCTCAAAACATTTCCGATGGAATACATCCACTTTATTCTCCATAGCTGCTGTTCTTCTCCAGGTTTCGCTAGCATATATACATAGCAAGCAAAAATAGTGAAGGTATATACAGGTATTTAAATATATCGCTTGGAGGTTCAAAGTAATGAATACATAGGTGGCGTACTTCTGATATATTAGGCTTAGAGAAGTCTAGCCCAGTTGTGTATGAACGTTGTGTTTTGGGTCTTCAACTCATCTTCATAGTTTTTGTAAGTCACGTGGTAAAACGTCTGCTCTGTGGGACAAGATATACAAACTCGCTCGTGTTCTGTTACGCACGTGGAACCCAGCGGTACATATGGCTGTAAACACACAGTCACTGGTATAGTTGTAGTAAGTTCAGTGCTGTCGATATTAATTAAAATCTTGAGAGTTTATTCGAAAACTCGATTTTCATCAAAAAAAAAAAGGAAGGGGGGGGTAGGGTTGGGCGATGCGTATACAGTGTCAGCTTCTGTATTTAAGTACTTGTTGTTTTTTGTTCCATACCCCACATTACAGAGGCGTACACTGATGAGAAAGGGTAAAATATTATTACCG